AAAAGTACCTGTTCACAGAGGGGTAGATTTACTCTATCCTACTCCACCGGTGCTCCGCTTGAGTGGAGTCTTTCTCTGCCTTCACATTCCCTCTCAACGCGAAGAGAACTGCCGGGGCTAAAAAAAAAAAAAAAAACGAATGGGCCGACCACCCCTTGGGTACTCGTAGTATGCAATCATGTCAGGAGTATCGTGCTTGAAACAGAAAGAGTCGTGAGGTTCACCATCCAACAATACCGAAACCCCACCGTTACTGAAGAAGAATTCCACAAGTACTGGAGCGAGAAGCACGCCGCGCCAGCAAGTCCCTGGCTGGTTCGCCACGGCATTCTGAAGTACGCGCAAGAAACGCCCCCGTCTGCCACCTCCTGCCCCCGTCTCCCAGCTGGCTAACAGTTAATAGTACCACACAACCGCCCAAACCCGCACCCTCATAACCCCCATGGCCGCATCCCGCGGCAGGAGAATTGCCGACTTAGACGGCCGGGCGGAAATCCTCTGTGGCTCCTTCGAGGATATCCTGATTGCCTGCGCGGACCCGGAGTATCCGGGCAAGATCGGCCGGGACGAGAAGAAGTTTATTGATCATTCGCGGAGTGTGGCAAGTGTGGGGTGGGAGGAGGTGCACGTTGGGGATGGGAGGGCTGTTGATTCGCAGCGGAAGAAGGGGGGTGGTGGCCGGGAGTGGAGGATGGATGCTGGAGGGAAGAAGTCATGGCGGTGAAGGAAGTGGGACTTTCGACTGAAGGGAGTTGGCTTGCAGGATGGCTTGTGGGCTGGTTTTTTGCTGGCAGGTCCTGGGAAGGGGGGCGCGGGGGCGTAGCGGTAGGCTAGTGGTCAAGTATATGTGGGGAAGTGGGAGTGGGAGGGGGGGCGTCTGCGGGAGCAGGCATGCTGAAAGTATAGAAGTATGGCATGGGCCCCTTTCCCTCCTTTTTCTATAGCTTTCTTGATATGAATATCCGTTTATTTTTTCTTCTTTCCCTATATATACTATAAAGTGTTTTTCACACTCCCTCTTTACTACGCTGTGCTCAGGAAGCACAAGACACCCCACCGGAGCCAAGAGTGGAACTGAGGATGCAATAAAGTATGACATGTGTGCATCCATGTTGCCCCCATTCAACACTGGACCACGAATAATCCCTACCCCCCAGTCTTTCATCCAAACAATAATTTGAACATTGCCCCATAACCGCCACCAGACCATTCCTGAAAACCTACTAAACATGGTAGCTTAGCATACTGGAATTGTGATATAAGAATAATTTTTCGAAGACCGGACACCCCCCCCGGCAACCCAAATGCACAAGGCAAAAAACCATCGAGATAAGCACTCCTCAATCCATTCGCCCCGCGCCCCGGGTCATCGGCCCGTCCAGACGAGGAAGGGAAAGCCCAGTTTAGGGTTTTAAATACATGATAGGCCCTCGGCATTGCAGGCGGGAATACCGGTATCGTGGATCCTACCTGAAGACCGTCCCCCGGTATCGTGCCTTACAGCTGTGATTTGCGGTATTGGTATCCGGGTTCAAGTTCCAAAAGGGGACGGGCGGTCTATTGGTGGTATATTGGCTATGTACGAGTGCTCGTACAGTACACTCGCACCCACAAAGCTCGTAACACCTCAGGTACCATACCCTACCGACTCATGCCTAAGATATCGGGATAGGCACGACTCTTTCGAGAAATATTTCTTAATCTCATAATGGCAAATTCCATGGAGAATATTTACATTCTTTTCTCCTCACCGAATAACTTTTGCAACCCCCCAGTTGAAGACTGCCAGGACTTTGCCATACACCAGGCGTTACGAGAACATTGCGGACACGGGTGATACTATCCTAAGCTTCCATTTTTAAATACTCGAATTGACCTCCGCCAATCCCTACCGACTCAAGCTTTATTTGTGCCCAAAACCTGAGACTGTGCCATAACTGGTACGGTAAAAAAAAAGGAGTTAAGAGAGAGAGAGAGAGAGAGAGTATCTTGTCCGTTTATCGGGTAATCATTTAGAGCGAGGGTTCTGAGGCGGTTAGCATTCGTACACGCGATGCTGTGGAGGATAGATTGGGGAAGGACAAACATTAAGACACAAGAACCTCTGGTTGCCCATTCGAAATGGACACACAGATCCTGCCATTAGAGCCAGCAGTGTAAGTAGCTGACCCGAGCCCACTGGCGTACACAGTCCCCTGCGGCCTTGGCGTGTTGAAGCAGTAGTTTCCGCGTGTGCCACTCCCGCCATTGGTGGTGACGACAACAACGCGGCCACCAGCCCTGCTGAAAGCATAGCAGTTATCGGTGGTGTACAAATGAACATGGTCATTCCGACCCAGTCCGCCGAAAACCTTCTTCACCCCCATGAGCTTTTGAATGAATGTGTAGAGATCGCCACTGGTATTGTATCTGCTCCTCCAGAGATCCTCTCTGTTAGCGGGATCGTTTCCGCCACCGTACGCCTGCTCCGTACCACCGTACAGGATGGGAATACCACGGGCGAGCATGGTGTAGGCGAGAGCGTTCTTGAGAAGGGTCCAGTCGTTGTTGATGTTTAGGAAGCGCCGAACGTCATGGTTGTCCAGGAATGTCCCCAGGAGTTCCGGACGGGAGAACGCAGAGCTGACCCTGTCGTGCTGTCTGACGAGGTCCCAGAGCCCATGTCTGCGCGCGTAGCAGTCGTTGATGGAGTAGTACATGGGGAAGTTGACGAGCGCGGGCACGTAATTCTGGTATGGGCCGACGTAAGCCGGGTCGCCGTTGAGCACTTCTCCTATAGAGTATACGCCCGCAGCACTGGTGAAGCCAGGCCAGAAGCCTTTCTCTACATGCTTCACCGTGTCCAGGCGCAGTCCATCGATGGAGTACTCCGACACCAGGTTCCTGATCCAGTCATAGAGCAACCTGCGTACCGTGGTGTTCTCCGTCCTGAGGTCCGGGAGTCCCGCGATCCGGCATCGCTCGATCCTCCATTGGTCGTCGTCATTGATACTGCAGCGGGGGTGGTAGTACGAGCTTGAGTTGAAGGGGTTGAAGGTTGTGATATCCCCCGCGCCCATGTGATTGACAACGACGTCAACCATTATGTACATTCCCTTTGCATGGGCTGCATTGATGAGGGATTTGAGGTCGGCTGCGGAACCGTAGTTGGTGTTGACGGAGTAGATGTCTTTTGCCCAATAACCATGGTAGCCGCCGGGGGTGTCTGCGATAACAGGGGTTTGTCATTAGTTGTGAATTCAATCTTGTCTGGATTTTTAATTTAATTTCCGCCGCGGTGGAATGGGTGCTTACTGCTGACGATTGGGGTGATCCAGATGGCATTGAACCCGAGTCCGTGGATGTAGTCCAGCTGGTTTTGCATCCCCTTCCAGGTCCCGCCGCAGTAATTGCCCAAGTTTGAACAGGCATTAGTGCTGCCATTTGTCCTCGCGAATCTGTCTGTGAGAACCTGGTCGCCAACCACAACCCCAGCTGGTTAGAACCACGGCAAACCCTCCTGAATTGCCCATACCCCTGATTTCTGCGACTGTGGCATTTGCAGAGGTGTCTAAGGGAAGAATATTTTGAGGAGGACTTACAAAATAGATAGACCTTGTCTTCCAATCGTCGCTGCTAGCGGCTAGCGCCAAAGCAACAAGCCCGACAAGGCTGATCAAGGAAGAGAATTTAACCATCGTCCAGAACTTGCGCTTGGAAGGAGAAAGTACTCGAGTAAGGGAATCGCGGATAATGGTCGAGCTGGGCAGAACCGTGAAGAATGAGGATGGGAAGAATTGTTGAGGGAATCATCGCGTCTTTTTATATATCATTATCGATATCATACATTCATAAGAAACCCTTGACCAAATTGCTGGCCATCGTCATGACCGAGTGTCATAGGAGGAGGAGAGCAGGCACAGCATGACTACAGGCTCAGGAAAGTTGAACTGGGGTGGGTGAGCTGATGGAGGGGAACCCTACTGGTGGAGGGGAGCCCTACGGTATGGCACCGCGGTATTCTCCGTCCTCTGAAACACCGGTACATTACTCCGGCGCTCTCACAAAAATCGGAAAGCCGTGGGGAAACACTGGTCAAATGGGATCGGGCGATTACAATACCCGGAAAAGGCGACAAGTTGCCTTGAAGTCTCGCCCGCATTCTTCTATGAGGCTGAAAGGGTTAGAAATATCTTTCCTCTTGTTTTTACGAGTACTTCCGACTTTACTTCCGACTTTATTATTGGGTCATTGTTGTTGTCCCATATCATAGTTGAATTCCCTACCCATTGTTCATGTCTGCCATGCTTGCAAGTTTCCAGTTTTGCGGTTATCTTGTCATCGTCACAACAAATCTCGACGATCACTTTTCAAATTTCCATGGACACACCCGAGCGCCCGGGTAAGGATGAAAAATGGGGTGGGAAAACAGGGAATACCGTAGGGTGATCGTTGTGGGAATGGGTGAAAAGTGAGACAGATTCACTCCCGGTTGTTGCACAAAGTGACTGGACGTGGTTTCCTTCCAGAACTCACCTGGGCTGGCTGTACTGTACTTCAAAATTAAACGTTGATCCGGTACGGTATCGGTAGTCTACTGTCAATGCTGTTGGGAATACCGGGGATCAAGTGGTAATTCCTGAATGGTCAAGTTTATGGAAAAGCATCTTCGTAGAAACCTTTTGCTCCTTGCCAAGCCCTTTTCGCGTCTCCAAACCGCTTGCCTCTCTGCGGTACCGTACCGGTACTTCACACTACCCGGAATCTTGTTGATCAGTAAGATCTTGTGTTGGGTAGTGAGCAGACAGTCGACATTAGTGGAAAAAGGCGAAACATGGTTTACATGAGCAACCCGGGGTGGGTACTATGATAGGTGAATTATCTTGCCAGTGGAAGGAAGGGTGCTCTATCATAGTGTAAAGTAAGAATCGTGAAATTAGGCCCAGTACGGATCAATCCCACAAGGATTGTAACCCCGAGTAGCCCTCCAGAATACTCGATTCTTGTCTCTGGAGGAAAGTAAGCAGCAATGCAACTGGGCTGAGTTTCTGGCATCGACAATGCTACCTGTATGTTTCTTTCCACAAGATTCATTTATCGACCAACATAATCTCTCCTTTACCGCCACAATTTTTCCGTCCTATGCGTGAGCACAGTGCTCGGGTAGAGACGAGAAATTCGGGACAGGAGATCGGAAAGATGATCCGGGGTGTGGAGTTGAGAGTGAAGCGTTTTGGAACGAAAATGGGCGTGGTAGAGGATAGGAAGTGGGAAGATGTCTGAAAGGTTCAAGTTGGTGGCCTGGAATGGCACAATGGGTATGGTAAGTTAGTTGTGCTCTTTTGGTTTTCCCTTTCCTATTTCATTTTGATAGTTTGACTTCTGTCTTTTTGGCCCAATTCCACCCTTTAAAGGTACTCGTATATTGAAGCAGATTGGGTACCGGTATGCTCCAATTTGGTCTAGGTAGTATTGCTAATGAGTGAGTGTAATAGCCTTAGGTGCAGGATGTAATGATAGGTTCAAGGCAACATAGCCTGATCACATCGACCCATCCTTTTATTCCCTGTTTTTCCACAACAGGTGTTCCGATTTTTTCGTTCCTACCTCCATTTCTCCGGGGCCGGAAGCCTGTTCTGCTTCAAACCGCACTGGCCAGCCGTGACGGTCCCGCTGTTGATCATTCGGGAGCATCATGCGGTGGGTTGTTTAATACCGATAGGGTAGAGAATTTGGAAGGGGGAGGGGGGATGGCAGTACTATAGAAAGAAAGGAGGAATTAGGATTGCGGACGATGATATATTTGTCACGTGGGTCTGATAAGAGTGAGGCTTTCTCACCATATATTTTTTATCTGACCCACGTGACAAATATATCTATCGGCCGCACTCGTAGTTTTACTGTGCCAGTCAGCAGCCATCCTCAAAGCCTTGTAAATTGCTGGCCGCCGATTTCAATTTTTAAATCGGCTAGGCCAGTACGGTACTCAAGTACTGTACTCGTACTGTGTCAGTGCTCGGAACAGCGGTAAAGTATTGGGACGGGAAGGGGATTTTGTGTGGGAGAAGTTTCAATCACGCAAACCTCCAGAAGGGGTATCAATTCTTACCAAATACAAGTACAGTACAAAGTACCGTACCAGCATTGCTCAAGCGTGGAGGGTCTGAAAGCGCTCAGATAACGAGTTGTCCTAATACTTTACCTCTGTCCTGAGCCTGAACGCCTTGCCCGACACCAAGTTTTTACACCAAATCAGGTGCAAAGTGGACATTTTCAGGTCAAGGAATGAGGCGGTATCTTGTGAGGTCATTCATACGGTTCAAATTGCTCTTGAAAGTGCTTGTACGAGTACTGTACAGACCTACCGGTACTACCATAAGAACTCGAATAATCGGACCTTGTGCTGGGACGGGGTTGCCTCTCCTTGTGTGATAGAGTCTGGTGCTTCTATTCTTTTTTTCTTTTTTATCTCGCAAAGCAGGTTTTTTGGTGTGTTTATTATCGCCCTTTCTCAAGATGAGGAAATTTTGGACCACCTAGCACATGGTCAATTTGTTCGAGTTCTCATGGGAATCCTTGTTCTCAATGTGCCAAACCCCTGAATAATGTATTCCACGGCATACTCGGACATGGAAGTAAAAATCGAGCAAAACAGGGATACGAACAAGGAATCTCGGGAATCTTGAAATTGACATCATAGAAAAAAAAGGGGTATGGAGAAAGTCAAAATACAGGAGCTTTGCATCTTTGATCATTGTGGAAGCTAGCAGTTACTGCTATCATTAAAACACTTACAAAGTCCCAAGACCCTAATACCCCAACTTCCTATCAAACCTTAGAAGCTCAGGTATAGAAAGTAAAAGAGGGGGAAGCAAAGAAGAATCATCAGTCCCATGTTGCACCTGATAAAGGCTGGTATGGGTTCTTGTGTACTCCAACTTGCCGATCTTTTCTACAATTCTGGCCGCCTCCGTACTTCAATGCAACGACAGGGTTTCTTGTTTTGCTCGATTTTTACTTCCATGTCCGAGTACAGTAGCAAGCCCCATCATAGCGAGTCATGCACCCAAATACTAGCCACCGTTATAATTTTGACCGGGGCTCAACATACCGGTACTTGCATTGAGCTCGCTGTGGCGTGGAGTGGGTTATTAGGTTCCTGTATCGCCTACAAGAGAATCTCTCTCTTGTTTCCGAGCTCCACTAACCTACTGTAACTTATTTCCCTGCGGAGTGATCGTAGCACAGAGCCCCCAGTGGCCCGGGGTGGAGAGATCGTCCAACTGAACCTATCGTGCCAACGGAACACAAATCAAGATTCTTATGCCAGTTGTCCTCCAGCAGGGCTCACCGCCCCTTGTGCTTCGAGATCCGCTTAACTGCTGGCCGCCTCCTAAGAATATACCCCGGGAGAGGAGAGTCGATAGATATTCAAAACCACCGGACGATGATTCTGTCTACCATAATAACCCCGCTCCTACTCCACAAAACCCCCACCACGAACGTCGTCTACCATCAGATAACGAGTTACTGTACCGGCCCGTTCCCCATCCGCTAACAGCGCGCTAGACAGAATATATCCTAGTGGGACATCGGCCCATCCATGATCATCCCTCGCAACATCCCTCCCACAGCACAAATGTCACAAAATTCCTCCTCCGACAAATCTCCGGGTGACTACCCGCTAGAAGCCTTCCGATCCCAATGGACCCAACCGAACGACATAATGTCGCTGCTTCTCATTCTAGGTGGGGACGTGATTCAACGAGCTCTAGCCCAACTCGCGGGCGGCGGTCTTATAACGCCCGTGGCTTTCTCCTTCGGATGGGTGACATACAGCATAAGCGCGCTCCTAGCGGTCGTTGGCGAGAATAAGCTCCTGCCGGCCTCCGACTGCGCTGGCCAAGTCATAAACGTTCGCTCACGATATACGCGGCAGAACAACTCGTGGATACTCGGACGGTTGATGAGGGATTTTTCCTTCTGGCGGGGAAAGGAGGTGAAGGATGCTGAGAGGGGAATGGTAGCGAGGAATCAGAGGGTTGCTCTTTGCATCGCTGTGTACGAGGCGGATCCTAAGAAGGCTGCTGGGGTGCCCGATAGAGATTGGGTGTGGTATAGTGGCCTTATATGCGCGATTCTACAGCTAGCGATTTCGACGATTCCGTGGATTTTACGGGGAGATTGGTCTATCTTTTTCACGACGGGTTGCGGAATATGTTTGGCGTTGGGGAGCGGTGCTCTCCCACAGTGGAGGGAGGAGAAGTGGGCTTGTCGGAGGAATACAAAAAAGACGGCTGTGCTGACGAAGGGGAATGGGCAGAAAGATTGTATTGTGATTATTGGCGGCGAGGTCGGGTTGGATTTGGAGGATTTAGCTGGTGGACGGGGAGTTGATTTGCCTTCTACTCGATATTGGGCGAGTTTTATGGCAGCGCTTTGGATTGCACTATTGATCGCGGTTTCTGGACTGAAGCATAATTCCTGGTTCTTATTAGTGGTGGGTGTTCTTGGGATGATGCAGAACATCATTGTCTGTGGCGCCCCGCGGAATCCTAGCGCTTTTGGAATTCACCTCCGGTTCAAGGAGGTGATTGTCGAGAGGAAGGTGATGGAGACATTGAAGATAACGGAGACGAAGTATCCTTATGTTGGCAGGTCACTCGTTGATGTCTACTTTCCTGGAGGTCTGCGGCCTGACGAGGAGGAATATTGGAAGGAAGCTGATGACATTGCGAGGGCGAAGGATCCTAAAGCAAAATGATTGTTTGATTGCAGTTGATTTCGTGATCTTGATTAACTCTATATATACTGAATCTGCACCTCAATGCGGTGGTCCACAGTAAGATTTAAAATAGCCAATCAATTTTCAACAGCAATTTATTCATGAAAGTGCGGGGGCTGCCGGGGCCTTAACCTTGTGAAACCATTTTTATCCGAGCGCCCTCCTCACCCTATCTTCACAGGTTAGTTCATCGCTCCTTGAAGTCAGTCAAGCCAACCCCGGATCTCAGTCATTAGTACACCATTGAATAAATATGATGGTTGTCCGGCCCAAAGACCACCTGCAATGGCACCTCCCGGATGTCCTGGAGCCCGGCAGCCCCCTGCCAGAAATACCGTGCCTCTGCGAACCCAACAGTTATGACAAAGAGGGGTTTTTCGATTTCCCCACTCGTCAGGGTTGGTTTTTCGACCCCGAGGGAATTTCCGGCCCACAACGGATCGGCGGGGATGAAGTTCCCTCTTCTGCGGAAAAAGGAGCTTTTCTACAATCATGGCTTTTCTTCGGGATGATGTATGAAGTCTTACGGCTCTTGGGTGTCGAGGTAAACCTGGAGGATTGTGTTGTCCGCAACCGAGATGGGACGAGACGGTGCATAGCCACTTATCCACTGCGGGAGTACTTTGGGAATTGTCTTCAGCGCTGGAAAGCACGACGCAGGGTTCCCCGGGAGGCTGCGCTCACCGATATTGCTAAAATATTGAGGCGCGTTGATTCGACTATTCGAGGGTATTCGGACACTCTTTCTTCTCGAACTTGGAGGCTGTCAGATGCCCTGTCGTTGGATACTGTGCTGAGTATCTTGGTCCTTGGGGAGTCCCTCCTGAACGTAGCGAGGTTGACAATACCACTTCCGGGGAACGATCAGTCAATTCTCCGGGGCGTCGGCTTTGCTTGGGCACGGAATCCTTTAGAACACCGTATGCTGGGCGCTGGGTGGTGTATCAGTACCACAACAATGCTGCATACCTTGCTTGATGCCACTGGATTGTACTATGCTAGTAGGCTTCGGCTGCCGACTCATTCAGGCCAGCAATCTCATCGCAATTGCACCGCGCAACAGTGCTTTGCTAATCACGTCGACGAGAGCACGTACCAGACCCAGCATGTAGAGCGATGCCGGGGGTGCGAACACATATCAATAGATGTGGAAAGGGTGGCAGAGGTCATTGGGCAAGGAAAAACACCTATTGTGTCTATCAATTGTCGAGATGCCGATAGCGATCACCCGGATATCCAACTTGAAGTCGTAACATCAGCACCCTACATCGCAATCTCACATGTATGGGCACATGGGCTAGGAAACGCTCAAGCCAACAGTCTTCCCCGCTGCCAGCTAGCAAGGATCAAACGAATGGTCTCGGGAATACACCCAATTGAACCTACAGATAATGCCTCCGAACTCGGGGTATGGATGGATACGCTTTGCATTCCCGTGGCGCCCCATCTCAAGCCGCTCCGGAAACTCTCCATAGCGCGTCTTGAGGAGACATACAGGAACGCAGATCAAATCTTGGTCGTGGACAAAGACTTGATGAGCGCCTCTCGTTTAGCTAGCCGCATCGAAAAGGCTACTCGCCTACTTTGCTCTTCCTGGATGCGCCGCCTGTGGACTTACCAGGAAGCCGTGGTATCCAATCTACACCCCAATTGCACGAAGCTGCAGGTTCAATTTTCCGACGGACCGGTGAGGTTCCACTCACTCTGTGCGGACCCTATAAGTCTCTGCCACTCGGAAATGGCTATTAGGAGCCTCTTGCTAGCTTTACCACTGACAGGATCTGTTTCTTTCATGTTCTCAACTCTAAGCCGAGCTCTACGCTATCGCACTACCAGCCGGCAATCCGACGAGGCCATCTGCCTAACCGCAGTGTTGGGCCAGGACGTATCAAAGGTGATAGCAACGGACAATACGGAAGAACGCATGGCAATATTCTACTCCTTCATCGACACTGTCCCTGCTGAAATAATATTCGGAAAAGCCCCCCGCTTGCAGATTGACGGATACCGCTGGGCACCCATTTCCTTCCTTCAGCAAACGAAGCAGATCGCCGTAGCACGGGGTCTCGACGCACCCAGAGACGCGCACGGGGTATATGTGACTTTCCCTGCTTTGCGATTCCTCTCTATCAGCCCGCCCGAAAACCTCGGTAATCATTTCATTCTGGGGGAGGATCCGGAGAACCCGACACTATGGTTGAGTTCTGCGGGGGCAAAGAGCGGGAGGACTGATGGGGAGATGAGGAGGGCTGTTAGGGGATGGGAAGAGTTCGATCGTCTTGTTCTTGGAAGCGGGGAAATTGCGCTCATTCTTAACCCCGATCCGACATCCACGCATGCGTTGGTTTCAGTCCTGAGGAGGGGCCCGGATGGAACGAGATACTGTCGGTTTCTATGCTTGGCTGAGACGAGCGCAGTGCATGCTGCCTCTCTTGGTGTTTGTGGGCGGGTGGTAATAGAGAAGATTGATGCTGGGACAACATGGTGTGTGGGGTAGATGTGTGGTGTTTTGGGCTCTTACTAAACCTATGAAGATATTTATAACTTTGCGTATTTGGTGTTTAGTAGGATCAGCAACTAAACTGGAAGCCACGTGCGAAAGAATGAACCTGAGTTAACTATACAGTAGAATATTGCCGGACGTTCCTCTAAAGTGTGAATATCCATAAGAAGTGAGCAATTTCTAACCGCGTAACCAAGCAACATGTAGGACTGACTCGGTGCCCAATTTCTAGTGGCAATAGGGCTAGACGTGGTGCTATTCTACAAGCGTTGGGATATACGTTTAGGAGTTCTAGCTGTTGTAATAAGCGCAGATATACTGGAAGAGAACCTTTGCCTTTCCCTACATATGTCCGGGTATTAGGCCTTTCCCTTTTACCTGTATTTCTTCTCTGCTGCGATCTCATCCATAATTGGAAGAAACCGGCTTCTTGTCTTCAGCCCTTAACGCATCATTGTACCCACACCAGAATACGCCTCGATACCAAAGGGTATGAAGATAGGACTTAGCCGCCCAACAATCAAGACCCAATGAAAACCGCCATACTATAAAAATGAATGCAACCCTATATGGGGGAATTATATAGGGAGGTTATGCGTAAGAGATGAAGGAAGAAAAGGTTTATGAACGATGGAAGACACTATTATACACCCGTGCTCAGTGACTCGAGCGAGTGATGTCGTGTGATGGGCTCCGTCGGGGCGTCGCGCTGGAGATCTCCGGTACGCTTTGGGTATACATAAAAGACCGGTTCTTTACCTAAATGAAAGGAACCCTCACAGTGTGGTATCTCGAGGTATCATGTAAAGGTAGCTGGGACCAGAGGTTAAATTGTAGGTCTATATACGAGGGAGATCCTTCAGTAGAATTATGGGGTTGGGCAGGACCGGAAAGGCCCAGGAGTATGCTAAGGCTGGCATGGTATACCGGGTCGCAGGGTTACCCACAGGAGATGGGGTTTCTGACGACCCCTTGGGAAAATTTATCGTAACAGTGCCTACTATTCTCGCACAGAATTATAGAGATGTCCACAGACTCGGGGGGAAGAGCCCTCGAGCGGGAAGGTAGCTCCTCCTTCTTGCAGAATTTAGCTTGGATACCTCTGGAAGCCTGAGTTATTGTGGATTTCGAATCTCGAGGTTTTTGATATCAACTTTGGGCGAGGGTATGAATTTCTGGTTTGAATGATCATTGGGCTCATCAAGTGAAATTGGTGTTTCCCTTGTTCCGCTTTGTCTATGTGATGGAAAAAGGAAGGATAATGGGAGAAAAATACTTTATGATTTGGGAGGTTGTGTTTCCAAAATATGGCCTAGTAGTGCTACCGACCCCCCCCCCAACATACACCTCGCTGGATCTATTGAGCGGGGGGGGGGGTATCCCGTATTTGGTAAAAAAAATCATGACTTGTTTGAAGTCCTTGTTTTGATGGAAACTTAGTCCAGTCAAGAAAAACACAGGGGCCCAGCTGGGTCTAGGGAGAAAAATCAAAAGATTAAAGCACTTTTCAACTTCAAGGATAGTGTTAGGCATTGTGGTATTCTCAATTGCACCATTCCGGGAAAAACAAGCATTAATGTTTCTACGAATAACTTTTTACCCTAGTAAGTCTCTCAATGTCAACTGGCAGTGATTGTGCATTGTTAGATAACGTGTCAGCAGTAGTCGACTTTCTAGCTTTAGTCATCCTAGAGTGTTTTTCCAAAGGATAGTTCTCTAGCACTTTCTCTTAAGAGATTTATTATCAATAAAAGTACTTCACTATTTTTTGTACACAATTGTGTAAGAGTCTATCAATTATGAATACCTTTTGACCTTGAAAACTTTTATACCACTTTAAACTCAATTAATTAAATCATTTATTGTATGAGAATGCTCTACTTTCTTCCAATGATCTCGTCTCTTTGATTTATTGAGTCAAATACTTTAAAAAACTCTTGCGATTCGCCGTCTCCGGAGATACCTGTAAATTGCGAATCAGTCTATTTTAGGTTTAGTTTAGCAAGTTAATGGAATTGCGAAAGCCAGTGAATGATTTCTAACACAGCCAAGGGGATCAAGCTATACAGTGCCAGGAAGGCATTAATCCTTATTCAGAGCTTCTATCATTGAGTCAACAGATTAGTGAGGTGGGGGCGACAGCGAATCTCAAGAGTTTTTACAGTAGACTTCTTTCTGAAACTCTAATCTTGTAAACTATCATTCTAGTAGTCTCTTTTAATTATAAAGTAATTTGCTCATATGTCAGGTACCTATACATAATGCAAGCTTAGGAGACAGTATGCTAGTACTTGATACATCCTCTGCCTATTACTAACAATTAGCCAAGGAGATGGAATTTGGAGTAGGAAAAAACAGCTATCCAATTAGCTTGAACAAAAGAGGATTTTGGCACATAATATAACATTTCTAAGTTTCTATTAATATATACTGATGGGCAATGATACCTTTTCTTGATATATATATATCTTCTTCCTTTGATAGTTCTTAGGCCTTTTGGCCTATGTTATCAATACTCGCTTGGGTAACACCTATCATTGTAATGTATAAAGATATTGCCCTTAGGCTTGTAAGAAATGTAATGGATAAAGAGTGTAAAGGTGT